GATTTTAACTTTCCTCTCAAAATCCAAATTCATATTAGTAAAATACCTCGCTAGTTTCAAAAATTTCTTTCTCCCCTCCCGCTAGTTTCGAATTTCTTCTAAAAATTATCTGATTCAGAGTAATCTAAATTAAATAATCCCTGGATTTTTCAACGATCAGATTGCGAATCTTGCCAGAAAAATCGTCAGATACCGGCGCGTATCTTCTAATTACGAGTTAATTTGCGGTTTTGTTCAGGCGCGCGATCTCACCGATACAGGTTGAATCGGTAGGGTACAGTTAGGTGGCGCGTTGGTTACTTCCGTTTAAACGGGATGCCAACGGGTGAGAAGAGGAAGAGGTTCATTAGGTCAAAGTGGGTGACGAGTTGGTTCAAACCTGTGTACAAGCAAATCTCCTGTAATACACGCGTTGTGAACACGATGTTCCAGGTAGCAATTAAGAGTGAGAATTTTAGTGAGAACGTTAGTGTAACACTCGAGGATTTCGAGATACCGTTTCGATACGACGCGATCCTGAAAATTAGAAGAATTTGCATACAAGAGACATTAGATAAAGATTAATTAGGATATTCAATGTCACGAGACATAAGAAAACGAAATTATCGTGTAATTCGAAGAAATTTAGCTGTTCTATTATTCACAGTAATAGTATCATTCACTTTCAGAATTTTGAGATTTATAGAACGTAATTAGATCAATATACGAAATAACGTCGATTATCTTCCACGGTTACGTTCGTCAAAATGTAAAATTGCATAGCCAGATGTTCGTTGAAAATTAAAAACTGCATTGGCTGATTAAATAAAATTATAATCGATTAAATTTAATTGAGCTGGATCTACGTTACTTCTGGCTACGCAATTTAATCATTCAAGTGTTCCCCGAAAGCTCAAAATTCACACCAGAGTTTAAATGTCAAAGTTGGAGGTTTGTACGGAGAATTCTCCGATTGTCCGACATCATAAAAAATGGCGGCCGTTGTTGGTACGTCAATTAACTTGGAGCGTGGAAAGCGCATCGAGTTATGGTTCTGGTGGAAGGTACGCGCGATCGTGAAAAGGTCACTAGTGCATGATATTTGTTGGGAGCATCAAATGATTGCTCCCAGCTATGCGTTTTCTGTGAACACACGATGCAGAGGGTAATATTAAATGAGACACGTACTACCTTTTGTTTAAACAGCTTTCGCGAGGAATATTTGAAATTTTTTTTTCATCTCGTTACACCGCTGAGAACATCGAGAAATATCAAAGGTACAGAAATCAACAGGCTTGGAATTAATCACCGAATTTCTTTAAAATTTCTAAATTTCCTACTTTTTCTTTTCCTTTCTGTCGTATCTTAATTTCTTAACTACTACTTTCTCGTCTCGATACGAACTGATCGATTAAGTTGGAATACTCTGTCGATGAACGACACGAAGACTGAAACGTTGTAGAAACTCGTTGTAGAACTGATTTCCTATGTCCTATCCAATCGTTGTTAGTTGGAACCGTAGGTTTACAGGCTCACGTCGAAAAGGTCAAGTTGCGTTCGTGTACGAGTTCCAGTTGAATTTTAAATTGAGCCACGATTTCCATTATCCGTCGGGAAAAGTCGGTTAACGAAAGTCTCAGTTGATTCAAGAAACATGTTGATTCGAATCGAATATCGTACAGTTGTAAATTTCAAACATTGCATCAAGTGAATACTTTTCACTCTGATTGCAAGGTTTAATTTCACTTTCGTACTCCGACACGGTTGAGTCTGCATTTGAAAGTGAAGTCGAACCGTGTTTGAAAGTGAAATCAAAGTCGAGAGAGACACTGTTCTCTTCCTTTTCTTTTTTTTTTTTTGTATTATCATCTGCTATCGTTTAATATTTTTCTGAAAACTGGGTAAACTGCTTGAAATTTTAACAGAGAACTGCAAATGTATTGAACATGATTCAAAGAATACAGTAGAATGATAAATGTGAAGAACAACATTCTTGAATTGCTCAGTCTTTCAAACAATATCCTACGTCAGCGTTGTCATATTTTATATCAATATTACATCTTACGGCAATATCATTACATTACCATATTATTAGAGATCAGTACCAGTGTTATAAAAATAAATAAATAAAACAAAATAGAAAATACAGAGGAGCCTAAATTACTTGTGATATATAGAATTATATTTAGATATATTTAGAACGTAGCTAAATCACCGTATAGAAGTTCGAAAGGTCTGATCTATCGAGCAGTTGTTCATAGAAAAGACCTGTCGGATAAGTCACTTTCCAGTTTCACTTTCCACAAACGAGCTCGATAAACGAGCACTGGATCGATCAATGGAATTTACAACTATGACAGTGTTGTCCAAACTACGCTCGATCGACACATTACTTGTTCTTTACAAATGAATTAAATAACTTTGATGTCTTCTATCAAAAAATTGCAAGTATATAATATAATTATCTCTACGTTCTTTGAATTATAAATATTCCATGGTTGGTAGTATATTGTTGGTGATTTTTAATCACTAATTATGTTGTTGTTTTTATAAAAAAATTGCATGTTTATAATATAATTATCTCTACGTTCTTTGAATTATAAATATTCCATTGTTGGTAGTATATTGTTAGTGATTTTTAATCACTGATTATATTGTTAGTGAAACTTGAGTGATTCAACAATCGTAAGATTCCGATGGTTTCTCCAGCAACAAATAATATTTTAATCATTTAATATTTTAAAATTACATATTACATTATCAATTACATTTTCAGTTTCATGTCGTGCTTTGAATATTTGCAATGCTCGTTTTCTTTCTATTTCTCTCATATATAATTATATTACATAATTATAATTATTATTATAATAATATATTATTATATTATATTATATTATTATTATATTAATCATGAATGAATTATATATCTGACAGTAACAACAATTTCTATAATCACACTTTTAAAACAACAAATGTCAGAAATTTTTGAAACGTCAAATGACGAGCGAATTTGTTACACAACCGAGTATGATATTTGGTTCGATTCTATTATCAGTTGCACCAAATGAAGAAAAAATATTCGACAAATTTCTCGTCGCCTCGGTAAATTATTAAGAGGTCGCGGACGACATCTGCCCTGCACTTGTTCTCGTCCCACCTTCGACTTGTTCTACTAGGAACTAGCACCTGATTAACGTAAATCTCGTCGATCAATTTAGTCTTAACGTAAATCGCTAATTCATAAATCCAATAACGCGTCTGTAGAATCGAAATCGCTGATAATGGTCGTCGTTTTCGGACGTCGTCCAATTAAAATTCTGCGACGTGAAGTTGCGGTCGTTAAAACGTGGATCACGTGGAATTTCGCGTGTTGCTTGTTGCTAGGGAGAAGCGAAGAGAGGACAGACCCTTTATGTTTACGATGCTTTAAGAATTATGGCTCACGGACGTTTTTATTCTCCACGCACGATTGCCGGAGTTTAAATTTGTTTTCGTCCACTAAATAAAATATACTATATTTTGTATATTTTATGCATTTACGTCTGCCACAAGCGCGTGCAAAAAATCCACGATCGAACATTAAGATCTTTTGCTTTCTCATTCGAGCAAAACTTGTTTCAAATGAGATCGAATTTTATTTTTCTAGCGTTGTAGTAACATTTTTTTTTTTTTTTTTTACGTTCGTTTCTTACACGCTGTTAATTTTCTTACGAAGCGTGCCGTAATAGTCAGGAACAAGTGTTCTTACTAATAAAATAAACGTGTCGTTTGGATTTTGGTTCGTTCGAAATTTACAATTCGATTAAACTTGCACAATTACTGTGTTAAAAATCTCCAACTTCTATTTTTATACGATCGTTTCCCATTTCCAATTTATTCCACTTGAAAACGCTAGAGTTGTAGAAATTTCGGATCTTTCTTTCTTTTTTTTTTTTTTTTTTAACAGAACGACGGTCAGATTAAACGAATGATAATTAATCCATTTGATGGTTGCCGCGACGATAATCGCGCGGCAATTAGGACGTGGATGTGGAGAGTCGGAAATTACTAGCACGTTCTTATAAAAATGGCAGCTAATGCCTGAACGATTTACCGCGAAGGTTAATACGAGAGGGAATTAACAGAGGAGGACTGTGAAGCAACGCATTAGTTTCTCTAGCGTTGCTTAAGCCTTAATTCGTTATTCCCCGCTTTTAATAATCCACGACAGACTTTCTTCTGTCTAGCGTCGAGAATAATGCCGAGAGGATTGAGCTTTGTCGGCTTGGTCGCGAAAGCTTACAGCTTCATGTTAACGATTTAACAAGATTGTTTCGCTATTTGACAACGTAAACGCGTAATTATTTTATTATGTAACCAAAATAGAAATGTTATCTAAATCCGATGCAAGTATACTGAAAGGAATTTAAAAATAACAAGTAAATAAAAATAAATATAAATAATAACTCGCAAGGGTGTATCACGTAACAAAAAATGTAAAAAGTATTTGCATATACCCGTCCAACAAAGTACCAATTTTTACGGCAAAGGAGGTCTGAATTGAATTAAACGACACGAAATTTATCGTACTTGGACCCATTATAGTTAAGGATTTCGATTCAAATTTAATTCGAAAGTAGTTTGTTGTTTATAAATCTCCTCTTTAAATTTTATATTATAAATCTATATAAAATTTCCCACGAATAATTACAAATTGGCCAGTTTGATTGTCGGTCGTGCTGTAACAAACACAGCGATACGCGAGTACTTTTTACAGCTAAATAATATTTCAATATAATATAATATTATAATTATATATTAATAATTAATATATTATTATAATACACATTATAATAAAATTAATCATTTATATATCAATAACAATAACATTATCATTATAAATAAAAACCAATTACTCCAATCATATCCCAATTTCATCCCAACGAATGCAATCGTAAATCTCCGATTTAAAACGAGAGAGAAAAAAGAAAAAAGGAGAACGTCCGTCGTTAAACACCTTGTTGCGAACGTGATTGTTGCAGGACGTGGAGCACCACGCGTGACCGCGGCACTCGTAGGAGATGGCGAAGGCCGGCTGATCGCCACCCCGGTGCACAAGGAGAGCATTGCGTCGAGGAGCAAGGAAGACCTGGCACAGGAGGCGGCTCTGGTGCTACAGCAGGCGGAGAGTCTTCACTGCGTGGCGCACGACAACCGACGATTGCCCGGCCGATTCAGCACACTTCCGGCGCGGCGTAACAAGAAGAGGCCGGAACTGCCGCTCGATGTGAGACGCAGGAGCGAGGAACTCGGCGCGACCACGAGCAGCGCTGATCTCGCCATCGAGGCGACACCGAGGCCGAAGAAGAAGGCATTGGAGCGGAGCGCCAGCGATGCCAGCAACGCGAGAAAGCAGCTGAGGGGCTCGCTGGCGAGGTTCTTCTCACCCAAGTTAGAGCGTAAACGGAAGCCGGTGGGACGTAGTGCGAGCGACGCGGCCAGCTCGTCGAGGTCTCATCGGAAGAGGAGTGGCAGCGAAAGCGAGGGATCGCATCTCGGCAGCAGCCGCGCGAAGAAGCAGCTGTCGCCGATAATTGAAGCGTCACCGTCCCACGTTGATCATCAGCCGTTCCATTTCGGTGGCTTGGAGAGCGGTAGTTCTCGACCAGAGGCGAAGAAGTCGAAGCAAGAGGAGAGCACAACGAATGCCGAGAGGAAGGTGAGCGAACAAACAGAGACGACAGAGACGAGAGAGAAGGTTGAGAGAAGAACGGAAGAAGCGAGTCGAATCGGGAAGCCACCGATATCGCCTAGGAGAGAGGGTGGTGGCAAAGGAGTGGTGAGACATATACCCATCGAGATCGAGGCGAAAGAGAACGAGAGGAAGAAAGAAGCAACAGCGCAGAGGAAGGAGGAGAAGGCGACAGGTCCGACTGTCTCGCCGGTGGCAAAGGACACTGGGATCGACGAGGTAGACAAGGTCGCCGCAAGTAGCATGCTGCACAGCAGTCGATACGATCTGCAGCAACGAACTGCGAGCGAGGAATCGACGATACACAAGATGATTCATCGATTGTCCAGCGATCGGTCGCCGCCGCCGCAGCTAACGAAAACCATGGTCTCGCCCGGGCCAGGATTCGGTCACAACAACAACCGGCCGTTCTCCTACACCAGACCGAACGAATCCTGCAGCCCACCGCCGCCGCCGCAGACCAACGTGATCTATGCTCAGGTGCAAACCGAGAAAAAGAAGGCGCAGAGAAGTCACTCGGACAGCGACGAGGGCCTCGGCCTTGAGCGGAAGGACTCGTCGCGCGAGAACAGCCCAGCGGAGAAAGAGTACCGTAGGACGGATTACTCGTACAGCAGCGACCTGCGTCGCAACAACGAGATCAACGCGTTCAAATCCAGGTATGAGGAGGACAGGAAGAACAGTGGCACGCACCCATTCTCCACCCATTACGCGACCGGCGCGCAGGATTACGCGAGCAGAAACACAGATGCGAAACGGCGTCACGAGTTCGACGACATCGACAGACGGCTGTACGACAAGCCGGAGAAGTACACGTCCACGGTGTTCGTTGATACGTCCGGCAGAGGCAGAGCCGATGGCACGGACGCCAGACAACGGGACAGCAACGAATTATTCTCCGGCAGGCAGGCCCAGAATATCGGTATATCGAACAAAACGTCCGAGCTGAGCGCCAGGCGCGACCTTCTCGAGTCGAGGATCAAGTCGAGGCTGCTTGCTGACGAGATGTTCGCTGCAAAGAACAGCGTGAACAACGTGCCGATCAAGAAGTCCGAGCACGAGATCATCGACAAACCGATCGTCCCATCGCCGGTCACACCGAACCGCGTCGCCTCGCCCAAACGCTACATGGACACGTACATCACGGAGACGCGCACCAACAGCAACGGCGAGAAGTACATTTTCGAGAAGGAGATACACGAGGACAACGGCAAGGTGTACGGCTACGAGAAGAAGATCACCAACAAGATCCCGTCGGACGGTTACATCGATGCAAAGCCGAGGGATGGATACACGGTGGAAACGAGGACGGACAAGTACGGAGACAAGTACATCGTCGAGACGCGTACGCACGAGGGTTATGCGGACGATCTGAAGCCGTTCCTCGGCGATAGAAGTAGAACCAGCCCGGAGGATCGATACCACGCTGCCAGAAACACGACCACCAGCCCTTATGGCAAGTCGTCCGGCCTTCGTCCGGAGGAGAGCACTGTTACTCGTCAATTTCGGGCCGAACAGTCCAGGGAAAACAACCTTCCTTCGTCGATAATCGCCAACAACAAGTTCACCGCGACCGAGAGGAAGTTCTCCAAGAGCGACGACTTCCTGGACAGGGAGGTGAGACGACCGATGAGAGAAAACGGCTACCTGCCGAAAAAGAAGAACAACAACATCGAGTCGATTCGCGGCATGAGCAAGTCGACGCAACGTTTGGACGAGGTGGGCGAGAGTTCGCGCGTCAGGGCGTTGAGGAGCGAGTACACGAGCAGATCGCACGAGAATCTGACCAGTCATGGCGATTACGTGAACGCGAGGGATGTGCGAAAGGAGAGATCGCCATTCGCGAAACGACACTTGGACAGCCTGCGCGAAGGCCCGAACGACGACTACGACACGGACATATCGCAGATGACCAGCAGTCAGTTGGAGTCCAAGTACTACAAGGAGACCCGCACCACTCAACGGTATACCAGCAGCAAGCATCCGATTCACGACGATTACGACAGTTCACCGCCGAGGATACGCACCGATCGTACCGGTGGCTACAACTCGAGCAGATACGACTCGGACACCACGGCAAGAGACTCGATCCGCTGCGAGACACGATACGACGAGACGTCGTCGCGCACATTAAGGAAGGAACATCGAAAGTTGGACGAGGATCCGAAGAAACCACTGAGACGGTCGCGCAACCGACTGGATTATTTCGACGATTCCGACGCGAGAGAGAGCCCGAGGGTGAAGGCTGGTGTCGGTCGGTTGGAACCGTTTGATGAGAGTCCCGCCAGGCCACCGAGAGCCTACCACGATGGCAGCAAGTCCCGACACACCAGGCAGGAGACCAGAACGCACACGGAGCGGCGACACCGCGAGACACGACTCAGCGACTCGGATCGGAAGGATCGTCTGGCCGATTCCGGAATCGAGAACGATTACAGGCGGGACTCGCAGGAGGTCGATCGACGGGAACAGATCGAGTCCGAGGACGAGGGTTTCGTCACGAGGCAATTTATCAAACACGAGAGACGGCACACCGACAGGAGCATGAATCTGACGCCGAACGAGCAACGGAAGTACGATAAATATTCCAACGACGCGGGCAAGTCGCCGCCGGTGACCGCGAAGCCGCCCTCCGGCGCGGACAAGAAGTACGAGAAGAAGGCAGCGAAGAAGAGTGGCACGATGAGCAAGGTGAAGCAGCTGTTCAGCAAGAAGGAGAAAAAGGCCAAGGAGGAGAAGAACAAGAAGAACGCGAGGGGAAGCGGCAGCGGCGCGCTCACCGACGACGAGGTGACGATCAGGTACAGAGAGTACCGAGGCGATCAGCTGAGGAGTGCTAAGAGCGCGCGAGACCTGGGCAGCGACATCAATCAGGTAGGATTTCCTCTCTAGCATCCTTCGAATTTATTTCCAAGATGTGCAGTCTTCTTCAGTGGCGTTTCTCGAAATGCCAAAGTACGGATTTATTCGGCATTTTTGGTATAGCCATTGCAATAATCGCCCATTAACAGTCACCCACATTCTGCACGAAGCCCAAAGACAGAAACACGGAATTAACGCAAACATAAACATCTGACATCTCAAAATGACGTACAAAGAGTTTTAAAATATCTCAAAAACACATATCTACTTCTATTACCTCGCTGTCGATTCGACGCAAAAGAAAAAGAAATGACGAAGAAGAAGAAGAAGAAGAAGTTACGTAATCTTGGATGATTGTTGAATTTATTATTTGCCCTTCGAAAATGAAATTTTTGGAATTTTCGTTGGACGAGAGGTAGGAAGATCTTTTTCTTCATTCGATTTTAAAAAATGAACTCTTTAACGCGTAAATTATTCTCTGATTCAATTTTTTTAATTGTACGTGAAGTATAACGTATAATCCCTGAATATTTGCACGGTTTATTATATATTAGATTCAATATCTCATTTCATAATTACACAATAGTGTTTATGTAAAAATAAAATATCGCAGTTCGATATTTAATAAAAGTAAATTACAGACATTGATGGTCGTGATATTTCAAATTGTGACATTATCTCGCAATAAAAGAAATTGCATTTACTGTTCGTTTCAAAAATCTTTGGATTTCAAAAAATTAGGACACCCTACGCTCCGCATATGCGTAATTATAATATTTTCTAATTGAAAAATTAAAAATTATCTATTTCGATCGATTAATTGATTAATCGATAAAATTCAACGATACACATGTATATACATACTTTGATTAAAGTCACAGAAATTCCTTCGATGATCCACGACACTTCCTTATTGTACTCGAGATGTAAACCGTGAAATCTTAATTGCCCCGCGTGAAACAGCCCGGAGGAAAAATACGCAGGTTGGATACATAGTAGCCGACGTGGCTATCTTTATATTACATACTAAAAGACAGAAATCACCGTACACGGGCCAAGATGAATAGCCAGGGACAGTCGTATAAAGTGTGGCTTTATAAGCTTCTTTTACAACCATGATCTTCGCGCTTATCCGATCGTCGTGGATCACTGCGAACGGTTCTCTTATGATCGTTCGAACGCAACTTCCGCAATAACGCGTGGAGTGACTGCACTGCCTCGCAGTTGTATCTCTGACGCACCTCTAATTTTAACGCCAAGTGTTTAAAACGTCGCGTCCTATCGATGATCCACGTAGACTCTGGACTAACGAAGTTTCTAAAACGTTACCAACGCGTGTAAATTGTTTCCCAAAGTTTTACAATCTCTAACAAAATCATCCAAATTGGCAAAATGTGAAATACGCTGTAAATATCATAGAGATGTGAAAAATTGTATTACATATTAGAAGCTACCAATAAAAGTTTATTCTTTGATGATTTTAAATTTTATAGTTTGTCGAAAAGTCGAAAGTATATATAATTATGAATTATATATAATAAGTATATATAATTATGAATTGCATGAAAGGACTAATATATATAGATATATTTTAAACAAAATTAAAGATTATAAAATTGTAAATAAAGAATTTTTTGTATTTTATTTAAAACTAATATTATATGAAATTTTGAGAAATACATACATATATATATATATATATATATATAGATCATACTATTCTAATTAAAATTTTATATAAAATAAACAAATAATATGACACGTGTACTTTAATTATTATAAAAATTTTAATTATTACTATTAACGTTATTATTTCTTAATTATCTTTTTTAAATGTCACACGAATTCTCTACAAGCCTGATTGTATGTATATATTGAAGAAAGAAGAGGACAAAAATGACCAAAAAGTCATTCGAGTTCACAGATGACGAATATACATCATCACGTGCAAATACACCTAAAAGTCGAAGTTCCTTTCTCGAAAACGCTCCATCTAAGAGACTCATCTCTCAAACACCGTTGTTCGTGGCCCTCCCTTATCGACGCTGAACGTCAGAAGACACTCCTTAATCATCGCCATAAATTACGAAGCAATTCCATTCAGCGCGTTAACCACGCGATTCAATTCACACACCGGTGGCTTCTATGCTTTTCCCGCTGGTGGCAGCGTGTTTCATCGCGTCGCTTGGCGAACGCCTGGCAGAGGCGTTGTTCGTGGCGAGCGGCCGAGACCCTTAGAAACCGGAAGCACCCGATAATTGGGATCTCATACCGTTCTCGAGCACACTAGGCTTGCGTCACGCCTAACTGTACACCATACGGTGGAGAGTAACCACACCGGCGGTGATGCTATTCAACATAGGCTCGCGTTCCCGCCCACGCTGTAGAAACGGTTATTTTTTTTTTTTTTTTTTTTTTTTTTCAAAATTCCTCACTCGTTCTTGCACGCCGTTCGCCGAATAGAAACGATATTGCTGGATATTGCGAATCGCTATGATTCGTGGAAGCAATACGGGATAAAATTCCATCTCTGTGTCGCTTTTAACTCTGTGTTCAATTTACGTCCTTTGGACCTCGTATTTGTTCTGTCGTTGACAAATTTCTTGAGCTTGAATACTATAGTGATACTATATGCCAGAGTCAGTTGTCCGTGTGTCGTATTAAACTTCGTATTATATTCGTGTTCCTTGGATTACATCTATTTCCCTGTGGTTAGGTACGAATGAAATTTCTTCAATCGTGTGCTAGTAGAATAAGCTGTCTGTGTTCAAACTCGTGTTTTTTGTATTATTTTCAATCCTGTCTAGCTCGTCGTTAATAAATTTGTAATCGCAGATGTAAAATTAAAATTAGTAATAATTTGTAACACCAGGTATAACGAATTGCCTATATATTACTTCTGATTTTAAACCATTTATAAAAGTAATAATTTATAACACCAGGTGTAACGAATTCCCTATATATTAATTCTGTTTTACTTTTAAACCATCTAAGTTCTGCTGTTTGAATTACTTTCAACTCTGTCGTGTTGTTCTAGAATTCCACAAGTCAGAAGATATTTTAATTATGATTGAAATAAAGTTTTCTTCGCTTGCAATTTAAATTACATTGATTTCATTAAAATATTTTCATCTTCCCTCTCCCACAAAGATTCCTCATCTTTGAAAACAATTAAGAAACAATTTACTTTGGTCTTCATATTTTATCTTTCAAAACTATTACATTTCCACTGTGTGAAACAACAAATGAAAAACGATCTTTCATTGGTCGAAATACGTACGTATATGTAGATACGTTTCAATAAGTGGAATATTCACGATATAGTCAGACTTCGCGTCTCTTAAATACGCTCGACGTGAAAGAAACGGCGCAAATCAGCTAATTCTCACGTAGAAATAATTACATACATTTATCAATCCTCTCTTCGTTGATAACTTCTGATTTCGATAATAACATTGCTCCTTTTAATTCATTTTCATCGATTCAATCGATGATTTATACACTACGTTCTTATATCTGTTACTTGTTGAATGAACGAAGGCTGCTAAATCGAACAGTACTCGGAGAAATATCGTCGTGGAACATTAGATAGCGGGCAATGTTTAGGTCACTTCATCGATATCGAACGCACCTATACGGTCTAAAAGACGCTAATTACTCGTGGTATCAACCTGTTCCCCGAGACTAAGCGTTGCGTCACGAGATCGCTCAGGCTCGACTTACGCTGCATTGAAAACGAACACACACACACACACATACACAGCTGAAGTATAAACTGCACATTATTCGATCGATTCCGTAATGCTGAAACATGTGAATGATATTTCTTACATACGTTACGCGGTGTATAATTACTAGAGTGTGCTATCGAGCTATTTATGACTTTGCAACGAGGCGCCCGATGAAATCCTATTTACAGGTGAATGCGTGACCAAATATCGTGTAATATTCACGCTGCTCTGTCGTGATTGTAAAATTGATTGTAAATCGATCGGCAAATATTCGTTAACGCTGTGACATTTAATTCGTGCGAGATTGATTGATTTCCTTGGATATTTGCGACATTCGTTTCTTGCGCAACGTTGTGGAATTGTGCAATTTTGTTTCGAACTGCGGTATAACACCACGTAACGCTTCTAATGTTCTGCGAACAAGTTAATACTGAAAGGTAGTAGTTTATGGTACAATCGTGAGAGAGTAAATAAGTCAAAACTGTTGAATGAAATCTTTTCGCATGATGCTTCACCTTCGATAAAATCGAACTTTTTAAGCATATTTAAATTGAATCAAGGAGGGAGAATACTAAAATTACATTCAGAAATTTGAATGAAGGCTAATTCTCAACCAAACACAATCAAATATTCTTTTCGAGGATGGAAAAATTTTACTCCACACTTTTGACTTGTTTCTGCACGCAAAATTACTTTCCATCTGAAATTAACCAAATTAAAATATACTTTACGACAAATTTTCAAATTCTATTCTTTTCAGAAACAAAGTTTCGAATTAAATGACATTATTCTTACGTTAGATAGATTTATCAAACTTTCTATTACCCAGATATTAATTTCTCACTAACGTTATTACAATAAAAATGTTACAATAAAACAAAATTTTCGTACTACCCAATTTCTATTCTACTTTTTTAATGTCTCCTCCTTACTTCAGTTTTCTACAATACAATCGCTCTCAATTTCTCACAGAATTAACTCGCAGACCGAGCGTACATCATCGTTTTATTCTCATTCGAATATCAAGAAATTAGCCAACGACTGACGTTAGGCTTGATCGATATACAATGGAAATTATTTATATGACGGTGCGCAAACACGATGAAGTCGTACAACGAAACTTACGAAGCAAACGCTGGTTACTGGTTCCGACCGGTAACGGAGCTTTCTCGATGTGTTCAGCTACTTGCACGAAGAATAATGATACAACGCTGAAACGATCATCGACGTAAAAGTCCGGTTGCATTCTCTCGGAAAGTGTGCCCCGCGCCCGAAGATTTA